TCAGCCCCCAGGGGGGATGGTCACGCCGCAATCCCTTCTCCTCCATTCTCCTCTCGGGATCTTGGGCACGCACGCACACGCGCCCGGCGTGAGTTCTAAGCCACCGGGTCCGGGACGCGAACTGCGGTCGACCACGTGGGAGTCCAGCGACATAGCCATTATGCTAACTGCTGGTTCCCCTTATTTTTAAAATTTGACCAAAGAGACAGAGAGAAAGGGAAAGCGAGAAAGCACACCACCAGGTCCGAAACTCAAACTGCAGCTGGCCATGAGGGAATCCAGCACCTCCAACTGCCATGCCACCTGCCGGAACACCTCCCGCCCCAAGGAAGTTTTAAAACTCACATCCCAGCCCCTGTGGTGCCACAGTGGCACAGGTCCCCTGCAAGGCAGGAAGCCACCGCGGGTTGGGATTCCTGGATCGGCTTGAAGCCACTCCAGGTGTGCACACGGGAGCCCAGGGTCCCGAGGAGCTGGAAGGCCGAGAAGGGAGAGCGAGGTGTGATGTGTGTTAATTGTGCTTTCCTCTCTCGCACGCACAAGTTCTCTATAGAAAAGTTGTTCATTTTTACTTTGCCGTTGGGTGCATGCACTTGCCAGAGAGGGGGACAAAGTAAGAAATCACCCCCGGGGAGGATGGCCGCGTCGCAGTCTTCTCTCCTCCCTTCTTCTCTCGGGATTTTGGGCACACATGCAAATGTGCCCAGCATGTTTTTCAAGCTACCAGGTCTGGGACTTGAACTGCGAGGTCGGCCATGCGGGATCGGCCGCCTTACCTCCACACCACCAGCTGGCCCCAGTAAAGATGTTAAAACTCCGAATGGTTAAGAAGCAGGGGTGCTCAGGAACGGGCCTGGGGGTGCGCAGCGGCTGGCCGTGTCAGGACCTGCTGGGTCCCGGAGCAGAGTCTGGATGATGGTGCCAGGCCCCGCAGGCTTCTAGAACCCCGCGTGCCGGGCCGTGACAGCCTGGGCACCACAGCGGGAGCTCCTGCTGCCTCCTGTGGAGTCGTGTGCGTCATCTGCAGAATCTGCGGCCAGTCGTCCGGTCGTGAGCATCTGCGACAGCCCCGTGTAGCGGACGAGCGGACTCTCACTCGGAACCACAGCCCAGCCCGCAGTCGGGCCCCGCCTCACAGTCCACACCCTGGACCTGTCCGCAGAAGGTCACGACCCCCAGGGTCATAAAGAAGTTGTGCCTTTCAGGAATTGCTTCTCAGGCTCCGTGTTTACGTCAGAAGTGTTTATTGGGACTGAGGTCATGCACTGCTCAGGAACGCCGGATCCCGCATGGAGACGTGGTTCGAACCCCCGGCCCGGCTGGCCTGAAACGTGCCAGGCGTGCGTGCAAGTGCCCGGGATCCGATGGGCCGGAGGAGGGGCAGCGCGGGATCAAAGCCTGTGCTGCGGACGGCGCTTCTTTCCCTCGTGCACACGCTCTATCATGAATTAAAGAACATGCATCTCTGGCCCAGCAGGTGGCGTGGTGGTTAAGACGCCGGACTCCCACATGGCCAACCACAGTTCGAGTCCCAGACCTGGCAGCTTGCTTTCTCACTCTTCCTCCCTCTCTCTCTCTTTCTCTGGCAAAACTCATGTGAAAGAAAAAGAATAATAAAGAAATAAAATATTTTTAAAAAAGAAAAGGAAGAGCATCTATGTCCTTGTGTTTCCGCTAGGTATTAGTCAGAGCCCCTCTCGTCCCTCTCGTTCCCGTCCACGCGTCCGGGGCAGGCAGGGTCTGGCTCTCTCGCTTCGCTGGCTCCTCTGCGGCAGGCGCTGCTGGGGCGGGGCGACGCCCTGTGCCCCCCACCCCCGTTTCCTGGTGCGTGCCGAGGCAGGTTCCGGTGTGAAACCACGTCCTGCACTGACGGGGGCGGAGCAGCTCGGGGCCTCCAGCTGGGGCCCTGTGGCCCAGTGACCTTGTCGAACCTGGGACGCCTCCCTGTCGGCTGTGACCGCTCCCCTGAGCAGGTGCCAGCGCCATGCAGTGTTCTGAAGCATGCTGGGTGTGTCCACCCTTAGGTCACCAAGGGGGATCTGAGCTGCTTCTCTTTTCATTTTTCTTTAAAAGAAAAAAAAAAAAAAAGACACAAACACTGTGGTGGTTAAAGACACGAGATTTCCCACATGACTGACTGTGGTTCGAGTCCTGGACCTGGCAACTTGCTTTCTCAATTTCCCTTTCTTGTTCTTTTTTATTTTCTTTTTTCCCCTTTCCCTTTCTCTCTGTGTGTGTCTCTGTCTGGTCAGATTAAAGGAAAAAAAAAAACCACACACACACACGCAGGTGGCATGGTGGTTAAGGTGCTGGACTCCCACACGGAGACTGTAGTTTGACTCCCCCACTTTTCCTCTGTCTGTCTCTGGTAAGCACATGAACCCTCTAACAAATTAAAGAAATAAAAATAATAGTAAATAAAATTCCATCTTTTTAAAAATGTATTATCCATTCAATGTGATTTTCAAGCTGCTGGGTCTGGGACTCAAACCATGGTCAGCCATGTGGGATTCCAGCGCCCTAATCACCATGCCACTTGCTGACCCAAGATGCTTCCTTTGAAGAACCCAAAAGCCGAGAGCAGAAGCTTGCGAGGAAATCGGCGGGAACCGTTGTCAGTCGGGACGTCGAATGAACCTTCCAGGACAGAAAGGCTGTCGGAGCTCAGCTTCCCACACTGGCTTCCGAGACCGGGCAGCTCAGCTGGTGGCGACGCCGGGCAGCCCAGGACAGTGTCTCCTCCTGTCCATGCCTCCTGTCCTCCGCGCTCCACACGGGCGCGCCCCTAACTATAGTGGGGCGTTGAGGCTACAGGTACCACCTGGCGGAGGCTCAGCAGGCTCCGAGGCTGTCCCTACCACTGCTGAGAGTCCCCTGGGCCAAAGCAGCTCTCGGGTCGTCGGGAAAGGTGGGACGCTAGAAAAACCAAGCTCGTGGCTTCCGGGCAGCTGGAAGGCTCTGTCTAGTTAGCGAACTGCAGAGGCCACGCCTGGGCCGCCCTGGTCTCTGCGGAGTCTTACTGGATCACGGCTCGCCTGTTGACACTCACCTGTGGCTACTTCCGCCCCGACAGAGTCGTCGGTACCGAGGCCAGGTGGCCTGCCGGGCACAGACCGTCTCCCTCCTGGCCCGAATTTACAGAAGCTTGCCGACCCCTGCCCTGCAGGCTGAGCTCTGACTCCGAATCCGAACCGACCCTACCGCTGACCCAAAGTCTGTTTAAAAGAATGAAGACTTAGGGCCGGCCCCATAGTCTAATGGTTGAGGGAGCTGGATCCCAGTTCGAATCCCACCCCAGCAGCGTACAGACATGCCAGGCCCAGGACCAGCAGGTGGTGTGGTGACTGAGGAAGCTGACTCCCACGTGGCTGACTGCGGTTCGAGTCCCAGAATTCGGTGGCTTGCTTTCTCTCTTGTGAAACTGAAGATGATGATGATAATAATAATAATAATAATAAAATGAATAGTTCTTTAAAAACAAAACACAAAAACATACCAGGCCTTCTGCGTGCATGCCCCCAAACCCTGACCGGATGGAGAAACGGAGAAGGGAGCATGGCGTGCCGCACCCCACTGGAGGGTGCTTTCTCCCCCCCACGTCTGTCTCTGCTGAATCCATGCACCCTCTGGCAATTAAAAAAAGACTTGCAGATCAGGTGAGGGAATTAGGAACTTCAGCCTAGAAATGGAAGGCTGAGGACATGCACAAGTCCAAAGTGATTATTTTTTTTCTTTCTTGGAGAGGTTTTCACTACAGGGTACGTGCACTCGCCAGACAGAGAGAGACAGAGAGACAGAAAGCGAGAAATCACCCTCCAGGGGGGATGGCAATGCCGCAATCCCTTCTCCTCCATTCTCCTCTCGGGATCTTGGGCACGCACGCACATGCGCCCGGTGTGAGTTTGAAGCCACCAGGTCCGGGACGCGAACCGTGGTCGACTACGTGGGAGTCCAGTGACATAGCCATTACGCTAACTGCTGGTTCCCCCAAGGTGATTATTAATGGAACTGAAAGTAATATCCCTAATCTTAGAAAGCTGCTTGAGAGAATACCCCTTTTTAAATCTGAAAACTTTTTAGTTATTTTTATTTTATTCACAATAGAGAGCACGTTTGCACACACATGAGAGCTGGGGAGAGAAAGGCGCCCTGGACGGGGTCTCCTCATGCCACAGTCCTCTCCCCTGGCCCTCCAGTTGTCGGGACCCGGGGCTTTTGCATACATGTCAGCGTGTTGTTTTTTTTTTTTCTTTTGTTTGAAGAGGTTTCTGCTATAGGGCACGTGCGCTCGCTAGAAAGACAGAGACAGACAGAAAGCGAGAAATCACCCCCAGGGGGGATGGTCACGCCGCAATCCCTTCTCCATTCTCCTCTCGGGATCTCGGGCACACACGCACACGCGCCCGGCATGAGTTTAAGCCACTGGGTCCGGGACTCGAACTGCAATCAACTACATGGGAGTCCAGCAACATAGGCCTTACGCCAACTGCTGGTCCCACACATTTTCCACTTTAAAGAGCTCACCTGAGAGTCGGTTTTCGGCCGACTTTTCTTTACCGTCTGGGAGTGTCCCGCACCTGCTCGCTCTGACCGACCCCATCCGCAGCCGAGTGCCGGCCGCAGCACAGGCGTTGGCCTGCCCCGCCTGTTGTTTTACTCCCCCCCTCCCCATGGTGACCGTCCTTGCCCGTGAGCCCCTCCGGCTGGTGCGTGAGCTCGAAGCGGGCGTGCTGGGACCCAGGTGAGCCTTTTACGTCTCCCTGTTGTCAAGTCGTGGTCCAGTCACATTCCCCTGCAGGGGGGAAGAAAGTAATAAAGAAACATCACTGCTTGGTG